ATGGCTAGACTAGTTCGTTCTGACACGTACACAAGTACCCCTTTACAGCCACTGCAAATGGACTCAAAAACGAAACTTCAAACTGTTGTTATCATTGGTGGAGGTGTGGGCGGTTGTTGTACTGCACTCGAATTGGCCCGAACTGGGAAATTTAACATTCACTTGCTGGAAAAGAATCCAGAATTGATGAGAGAAACTAGTGATGCCACCCCTGGCCGTCTTGGCTTAGGATTCCATTATGCTGACAAGAATACAGCTCTATATTATCTCCATGTCACTTTAGACTTCATCAAACGTTATGGACGATTTCGACAAGAGATCGGCCGACAACAATCTCACCCACTTCGTCGAGGCAGGTATTTCATTATGAAAGACTCGACGGTGCCTTACAGAGATATTCTTGAAACATTTGAGGCGATCAAAGAAGAATACTCAAAGATGGTAAAGGAAGACCCGGGTTACGAAGTTGTTGGCCCACCGGAAAACATTTTTCGGATTCTAGAGCCTCATGAATTTGAAGCAGACGTGGAAATTGGAAAGGTACACATGGGTATCGAGACAGCAGAGGAGTTTCTGGACTGGCCAAGCATGAGAGAGTATATTGTGCAACAACTAGAGCAACACAAAGACACCGTTAGAGTTCGCAGATACACAAAAGCTCTCAGCATAACAGCTTGTGATTATGGAGGGTATGTGGTAGATTCAGTGAACGTATTTCAAGGCAATATGGTTAGAGTCTCCACTGATATCATCGTGAATGCGTCATGGTATAACATTTCTAAATTCAACAAGATGCTTGGAGTCACTAATGCGAAGTAAGTAACTCTGCTTCTCTAATCGCCCAGCTTGATACTAGTAGAGCGTTCTCGCGCGCGAAGCCCCATAGAGAATGGTAACCTGTCGATGCCAGAAAATGTCCTCGGCGTACGCCCGTCCGGCCTTCCGCCTTTACACTCTCAGGGGTAGAAACCTCAGTAGGGTAGGGAAGGGAGTCGCAAACATGTACGTTTCGTTTCGTTTTTGGAGCAAAATTAACCATTTTAGGGGCAACCAATTTCACCAATTCAAGAGTAAAAATCTAGATCAAAATTCCTTTCCTTCGACTTACGACAGAATAATCGGGAATATATTTCTAAAGCTTTGCGTTTTGCTTGGTCATGCTTTTTTGGTCACACCCCAGGAACAACTCAGACAATTAACAATCGGTAACAACCAGAACTTGGGCACCATCGTGGGTAACCGAGCTGGGGCGGTTATTTGCATTCGTTGAGTCCTGTGGAATTAGAGTCCGCTTCCTGTGTTACTTCTATTTGCCTGTAACTGATATCGGGCCAAAAAGAATGGTTGTATGATCAATAAATGACAATTTTGTGCTGCAAAACTGGCCAAACGTGCAAATTTTAATAAAAGTGCTTTTTTGGGAAAGTAGTTGAAAATTGTGCTCGTAATGACGAATTATACCAAAGCCTAAACTGGACGCAGCCATGCAAAGAGAGATTCGTAACTGACAACCAGCCTTTATAAAACATTTATTTCATGGACTATTAACTATGGGTAAAAATTCTTTCTAAGACTATTACTGTGATCGAACTTGGTTTATAATTTTTTCTTTTTGTTTTAAAACCAGTAAAGTATAAATTTGTGGATTTCTTTGCATAGGCTGAAGCTTATTCGTTTAATTTTTTGGTTTTAAGTAATTAAAAGTATAGAAATGCACTCTTCGATTTCTAGGCTTGGCTAAATCTATATATTGATAATTTTAGTGTCTGCTTTATGTTTTGAGGAATCTTGTACTTGACTGTCTTATTTCGGGCGACTGTAAAGTTTACACTGGAGAGTAGTGAGTTGGATTAGTGGGTGACAGCTTACGTCAGTCTGGGGATTTTTGTCCAGAGCTTTGGACGCCGTTTAGTCTGCAATAAAGGCGCTCTATGAACCAAGCCACGTGAATTAACGCGTTATTTCGCGCTCCTGTTGTTTGCGCATTATCGTTTCATCACTCCGAGATCCTTGATAGCTCGCGTGCTACAATGCTGCAATTCGTCCTCTGTTTGTGTGGTTTGCTCACTCTTGGGTAAGTTTTGAACAGCCCTCCCCACCTGACAGTGTAAAGGGCCTTTTCTGATTTGTCCCAAGCCTCTGTTTCAAAGCGACGCTAAGTGCAAAGCTATTAATTTAAAATAAAAGTAATAATATAAAATAATACTCTAGCAACTGGTGGTTGCCCGGAGCCAACGAAAACCAGATTTACACCTTTTTCTGCGAGTATTGGCAATAATAATAATAATAATAATAATAATAATAATAATAATAATTGTAATAATAAAATAATTATTCTCAAGTAAATGTAACGTATAGTCTAACCTCTACTTCCTGACCTCTACCCCCAACCTCGTCCCCAGGGCGCTTTACTAAGGCCACGGAAAAGCACCCTAGAGACGAGGTTGCTCCACCCCTCCCCTCTCCCCACCCTCAGTTTTGCCTCCTAAGACTCTCGTTAAAAACCAACTACTAAAAGAGTTTGATCGCTTAATGAAGATTAGCATTGCTCTCTTTATAATATTGTCATTTTTAGGAGAAGATTCAATCGAATCAAGGCATTAGTTATAGTGCGTCTATCTGAAGAGCTTGCCAACCTGCCATCGATGTTCTTCTGCATGGGTCCGTACGGTATGTTTTGCAACAAAGGTGATGGAACTGGAATGATGACGTACGCTCGAGAGACAAACATTGCAATGACAAGTTCATCTGGCGAACTGGAACCAGCATTCCTCCGAATGTATTTCAATCTTTCGGACAGAGATAAACATATCAGAGGCCAGCGCATCGTGGCAGGTGTTTCAAAGTTTATCCCAGCGTTGAGGAACTCCAAGGTGCTGAAAGTGAATATCGGAATTGTCCAAAATTTCATCAATGAAGACGCAAGTGAATACGGCTTCCAAATTGGTAACCTTGGCTTTCTTCACGATCCTACCAAGGGAGGGATTCACAAAAGAAATTATAGTGGCGTGGAAGAGCCGATGCCTGGATATATAATCAACGCATGCATGAAGCTTATCTATTGTTTTGACAACGCAAAACTTGTCAAAGACATTATAACAAGAAAAACTGGTTAAATAATAAACGGAAAACTTTCGAGAATCGATCACTGTGAAAAATCAGTATAAATGAATCGACAGGCAAATAAATAAATAAGTAAATAAATAAATAAATAAATAAACAAATAAATAAACCAACCAACCAACCCTACATACCCTAAATGAAACTTGGAAAGGTATCTTTTACTTGCTGAACTAATGTTGAACAATATATATCATTGGCAAACGGGAAAAGGGAATTTTAATACAGTTTTGGAAGGAAAATGAAGCATATCCTACTTAAAAGTGGCAAGTATTTGAATAACTGAGGATTTTGCTGTGACAGCGGCCGGTACTGTCACGCAACTCAAATTGAACATTTGACTAAATTTGAGTTGAAAGCTTCAATTCTGAATCGCGATGTGCCAAAAGTTTTAATGCATAACTTGACAAAATAGCTATTAATCTTTAACAAAAACATGTTTTTAGCTCTGACTTAGGTGCCACTTTGGAGAATTTTCTGCTGACTTTGAAGCATTTATTCGTGCATTTTGCTTTCTTAATTGGATTAGTGAAATGAACACATCCAATTTTTGCTGATTACCGAAAGATAATGCCTACATGGTATTGGAACAGTAAGAAGAAGCAATATGCTTCCAAATGAGTGCAAATAGTCTAGGATTTGATCACCCGAAGTACTTTTAAACGATCGTTAAAAACCCGTATAACAGAGACTAAAATTTGCATATTTTAGCCACCAACGGTCGTTTAGCAATGAAATGCTGGGAATGGCAGTAAAATAAACAATTTCCTCATTCTAACTGCAATTTCGCTATTAGGATGGATAGTAGTATTGATGGCAAAAATATAAGGCAAAAGTTTGTCGAGTCTGAAATCGAGTGGAACGCTTTTAGGGAGACTGCCTCTTAAAATGAATAAGCAATGATTTATATCATTTTTTTTTTATTCTAAGTAGGAGCCGATTACTTTTCTAAGTTATTTCTATAAATCAATCAACGAATCAAGAACTGGATATTAGAGAAACCATGGAAACCCAAATAAGAAATTATTAAAAAAGACAGGTATCATTTTTTCGGCGGACAGGGCCTTTCCACATAGGCCTCTGCGCAACAGCCTTCTCGGGGAAACCCTGGAAACGAATACGCCTTCAACTCAACTACAGCGAGGTGGTCTGGGAATGATCCCGGAAGAAGTGCTTTGCAACTTTCGATTTTCACGGAAAATGTAGAGCTTTCACTTGCTTGTCTGCTTCAAATTTCGATGGTGCATTCGAGGTAAGAGGAATAATTTTAGACGTTAGGTAAACAGGGGAAACAATAACCTTATTTAGTGTTATCTGAAGTGTAATTTCTCTTGTCTGTGTGGTCGCGCCTGTGCAGAAAGTTGGAACCAGGAGCGAAGCTCAATTACATTTGGGAAATTTACTTTATTTTGCGATTCTAAAATGTGACTTATATTCCAAGAAAGTCCTTAGCTTTAAAGATGAGTGTTTGCGCTGAAAACCCGCAGTAAGCAGGCCAGACTTGAAGCAAGATTTCGGGGACGATTTTGAGCAGAATGACTTTCATTATGCTCTTTTCCTAATCGATTTGCAGCGGTCAATGAATAAAACTTTTTTCGTCCAGTGCCACGTCTAATTAAAATAAACGTTTTCTTTATGTTCTACGTTTCTTTATTTGTACTGATTTGCGCAGTGAAGAGAGCTAGAGATTCATCTGTTTTGATAAGACTGTATACTAAGGCAAAATAGCCTACCGTAAATTATTCAACCTGGGCCTTACCGCCTTAGAAGTGTTTTTCTTGGAATCATTTATAATAGGTGCAATTTCACGCTTTAATTTTTCTTTTGCAAAGGATATTGTTAAATTTCGAAAATGAAAGTTAAGCAGCGTCCACAGTAAAGTGACTATTTACACAATGTTAATTGAAATTTAAATATCGTACACACAGATACACTGAAATAGAAATACCGTAGTGATATAATACAAGAAACAAAACGAAAGCGGAAATCAAGATCTGAACCGGAAGTAAAAGATCACTTGTTTAGAAGTCACGCTAACATTTGTTTTGCGATCAAAATCTCGAAAGAATACGTTCGCCGGTTAAATCAATATTCGAAATAGCACGCCGAGTATGTACTTTCTCAGTCATTTCGTAAGCGCTTTCATCTTGTGTACATCGGACCTGCCGAACTTCAGAGGTTTAAAATCTGGAGACTCTATTTTTGCACTAGCCCTTCCCCCCGAATGTCAGCAGCACCAACACCCTCACCGCCCCCTCCTACTCCCCGCCCACAAATGCAACCAGCCGCCATGGCTTAGGACATTATACGACGTCTTACATGAGGTACATGCTATCAAAATTCGCTTCTACTATTGTAATGACGAACTAATCTTTGCCAGTTAAATATGTGTAAAAATGTCCCAGAAACCTTACAATGAATAAAAAAAGTTCGAATTTTGTGAAAAAAAGGGCTATATTTCAAACTAAAGCACAGAAATGCTCAAAAGTCCATTTTATCTTGGAGATTTGGTGCTCTAACCAGGAGACCGGGAGATTTGATGAAAAACTTGGAGACTCCAGGGAAAACCGGGAGAGTTGGCAAGTATTGTGCATGTCCCTCTGCACTATTTAGTTTGATTTTCGAAATGACAATGAGGTTATGCATATCTAAATTTGAAAGTTTGACTTGATGTGAACCCCTCGCCCTCTTCAAAAACTATTCTCTTTGTTAGCTTTTTCCTTCCCATAAATCAATTAAAGTATCAATTATAGTATCAGAAATATCCCTCTGAAAGGACCTAAAAAAAACCCCTTGGCTCAAAGTTTGGATGCTCATAGAAAGACTTTAATAATTTCGCGCACTTTTTCCTTTTAAAAGGTAAAGTCAGGAGTATATGTCACTCGTGAGGGACGAAAGACAGAAATTTAATTAGTGCACTGTGTTATATTGAGATCATTTCAAAACATTTCCATTTTGGAAACAGTGGAGGATTGGTGAGAGTAGGAGTCGGCAAAAAACTCTGGGCATTGAGCTGAGAGAACAATGTTAGGGTCTCCTTCCCTTCACCTCTATTTTATTTATTTATTAATTTTCTATTTTTAGGTAGGGGTTTATATACATTGTCATAGCCTGGTGAATTTCCACGAATTCCATGTATTAACAATAAAAGTGTGTTTATGAAAGCAAACTTAGAAACACAAAACATGACGCTGAAACATGAATTAGCTTCAAGACTAGCAATACATCAGCTTTTCAGGATAACAATCAGAGACAACATCAGAAAACATTCAGAAACATCGAGCAAGAGAGAAAGTTCTTGGGGGTGGGATTTTTCCAAAACGAAAACACGTGATACTGACGCCATACTGAGTCCCAGTTTCCCACATCTCCTTTTACTTCATAACAGCAACGATGGGTGTTGAACAGTCCATTCATGTACGTCAGGGAGGGGTGAACTCACTTTTTGAGCGCGCACTTCTTGATGCTCTGCGTGAAGCAGCCGAGGAATCACAAGTACCCTCTGAACAGTTTGAGCATGCTTGGGATCCAGAGGACTGCTCCCCAAAGTTCAGAGTGTTGCGTGACAGGCTGACAGCTAGACGACTGCCCTCTCCTCTCACTACAGATGCCATAAGAGGTATGTTTACTATTCAAGAAATTCCTCTTCCTCAAAAGCAATTCAGAACCAAGAGATGTGCAACAATTCTAGTTTACGCCAAGCCTGATCCTCGTTGAGAAAACTCGTCTTCCTTGTTCAATTTGCGGATTTTTTTTTTCGAGCTTGTCTAAAGACGTTCTGAAAACGTTAACGCACCATTTTGAATACTCAAGACTAGGTGATATATTTTGGACCAAGAGAAGAGTTTCTTTCCGTACTTTGCATCCCCCTTGGACGAAGAGTTTTTCGGTGCCACATTGTAGCCCCCCAAAATATAATAATACAATGAATAGATGAATAATAAAATAACTAAATAAAATAACTAAATGAATAAATCATTCAGCCTTTCTTTCTTATACTTATTTGTCGGCCGACCTACGTTGTAGGTGTAGAATATTGATTATTGCTTTTATTATTAGCCTTGATTTATCTTTCTTTTTTCGTTAAACCAGGGAAGAAAGGTTACAGACAAGGCCGACATGTGTGGGAAATAACGTGGGAAGAAGACGAACGGGGATCGAATGCAGTCATTGGAATAGCTACGCCTCAGGCACCTCTTCAGTGCCTCGGTTACATCCCCTTAGTAGGGTCGAACACACAATCATGGGGATGGAATTTAAGTAAGAAAGTGTCCTTTCACAATGGGCAGGAGAAGTCTTATCCAGCGAATTTTCCAAGTTTTGTAGTACCAGATACGGTATATGTTATTCTTGACATGGAAAATGCCACGCTGAGGTAATCCAGTCAATATATTTTAGCGTTTTACTGAAATATCTCTTTTCTTGCTAGTATGTTCTCGCCAGCGGGAAAGTGATATTCCTCTTTCTCGCGCACGCTTGTTCTCCTTGTTCTTTCTATTCGGCAGATTTAGCAACTTGAAGACAACGTGACGACAGAGATGACCGCGGGAGCAAAAAAAAAAAAAAACGAATTCACCAATGAGAGCTGGAGCGGTAAATTTCGAGTACGGAAAGTCGCTTTCATGCCTTTCAGCTTGCTCTCATGCTCTCTGTTCATGTTATCTTTGCTAAACTTGCCTAAAGTATGATGAAAACTCCCGTCATTTGACGACCGTTTGACGGTAATTTCTACATTTAACTATTTTTCGCGGTTTTGCCCGGTCGACTGTATAAGGCACACACCATGCGTTCATTATTATTTTCGAGTGAAGACACACAGGTTGTTATTATACTGTTTATTATGGCTTTGCACCTTGCCTTTCCCGCTCTCCCCTCCATGGCTCCTCTTTCAGATGATTTGTTTTTATTTTTGTCTTCCCCCCTCATTCAACCCAACTCCATCTCGGGTGTGTATCTTTCATCCAGAAGAGGCTGCCAGTTTTTCCCAACCTTATATCATGTATATGGGCTGGATCGCTGTAAATAGACTACTCTCTGAGAGTGATATCTTTGGTTGAAATTTCATGATTTACATTGCATTGCGGTTAGATCGATGGACTTGCAACCAGGGAGGACTCGAGTTCAACTCCCGCCCTTGCCTCAAGCTGGATTTTGTTTCTCGGTATTTCCGACTTGAAATCCTTGCCCGCCCTTGCAAAATAGTCGGGATTCTTCCCCTGTTAATGTGTAATTGAATGCCTTTTAATTATTCTTGAAACGTCCCTTAAGTGGAGAGGACACAGAGACTTAACATCTTTCGAGAAAACTGGGCTAGGTTGTTACTGACTCAAAATTTTGAATAAGATGTCGTTTCACCCCATGAGTCCACGTGTAAGTACACCTGCTAGTTGACCAAGATTAGAAGGACATCATTACTGCAGTTTCGCATTCTGAAACTGATGTTGTATTATTCTTTGCATTCTAAGCTTTGCTACAGAGGAAACACACCTGGGAGTTGCCTTCAGTAATTTACCCCGTAACGCTCTGATACCTCTTTGCCCATGCGCAAGTGCTGTGTACGGCAACTGTGACATCAAAATGAAGTATCTTGGACGCGGAGGTGGGTTAGTTGTTGAAAAAAGTAAATGTAAATTAAATCTATAACTTGTGACCACTCTCATGAGCTGCAAGATCGTTGTCGTTTCATTGCCACAGAATGCTTTAAAAGATCTTTAAAAATTTTTGAAAATTTTAAACATTGAAAACTCAAGAAATGTTAAAAAACGAATGTGAATAAATTAGTAAAAAGGAGAATCCAGTTTGCAACGGTATTAAAAAACTACGAATTTTTTTAAGGATCAGAATAACTTTTAACTTTAAAATTATCCATTGTATATTTCGAGCCGACCGTGTTATTATACAGTGTAGTCTTCATGAAGCTGAAGGAGGTGGTTGGTTCTAGAGCATTTTATGGACGAATAGAGGAATGTTGTTTTAATTGCTTCAGTTCTGGGTTTTGGTAAGCGGTATAAATAATGTTTTTGTTCTTGTACCAACTCACTTCAGTTTGAGGACAAGTATTCTACCCTCATTAGCGAGAGTCTGTAGTAGCGGGATTTTATTTCAGTCAAACTTCTGTAATTTGTTTTTGCCGGAGACTTATATTTAGCTGCTGTCCGTATTATCGGGGTATCCGTTATAGCACGGTGCCCGCAAGACGAGAGTTGACTGTATCAGGAGACTTCGTAAAAACTATGCCAAATATCCCAAATACAAGGTAAGACGAACGCTGTATCTACAGTATGACGGATAGCTTTTCATGTCAACATAATCCGGCCTGGTATGAACACAACGGTCTAGAACTGAAACACAGTCATCGAACATCGTACCGGAGGGAGCGGTACTAAGTAGCTATAGTGCACCAAATCCTAATCCTCAAACCTAGATATTTACTAACGCTTTTTTTCGGTTCCATTCGTCGCTCCGAATCATTGCTACGGTTCCAATACCAGATCACACTGCCACAAAAAGTAGCAGAAAACCGTCCAATATGTGGCAATCCACTTTCACGATCTGCGCAGCGCAGCTTCTCTCTTTTGCAAAAACGGTTGTTATATGGTTTTGTACTGGTGCAAGCGCTATTCGGTAGAGTGTAGACAATAGCTCGACCCAAGTCAAATTTAGAAGGATTCATGTGGAGTTATCAGAACATAACTGGGCTAATATCTCAGAGACAGTTGCCCCGAAATGCTTATTTTTGACAAGGGGGCCTCTTGGACGTTGTTCTTCCAGAATATCCTGACAAATCCCAAAATTTCAGAAATTTAATTTTCATGACGTCATCACTTTAGAACTCTATTGGTCATCCAGACTTTATCTCAACCTTTACACTGTCTTGATTTATTTAAAAAATTCTTTTACGGTTCTTGACGACCACAGCTTTTGTGTTGTCGAGGCTACTCGTCTCCCTGATCGTTTCGCAACCTGTAAGTCACCCCTTAAATACCTACCAAGTACTGTTATCAACGGGGTCCTGCTGGCTAAAAAATTAAAAATCTAATAAATAAGAATTAAAAAAATGTATATACAAAAAGAAAACGTGCACTAGGTTAAAACCGTTTAAGACTACAATAAAAGTTACAAGTAAAAGCTATCATCAACATCATCATCATCATCATCATCATTACTTTTCACTTTTTATGTTTTCAAAGACAATTTGCTAGCTAAGATGGAAGCCTCTAAAAAGAAGTCAACCTCCTCAGCTTATTCCACCACAGTGAGACCTCCGCCAAAATCACCCAGTTCTACATCACCTCCCCAGTCTCCGCGCACCTCATCCCCTGGCCAGGTCGCAACAAACTCTGCTGACCCTGTGAAATCCTCGGAGTCATACAAGTTTAGCCACACCTGTGGAGCCAATATTGCTGTGATGTGTGCTGGAAAGAAGGCAAAAAGAATCGAGTAAGAAATGAACCTCTTGATGAAAAGTTAACTGCAAAACTGTTTTCACTGATCATGATGCTTTTGCTTTTGCTTCTTTGATTAGGCCATTGGTTTATCAATTTAACCTATGTAGGTTTTAGTATCAGTAATTTTCGAAAGGATTCTCATCTATCAGTTTTATTTTAATGGCGCTATAAGGACAATAACCTACTGCCCAAGTCGAAAACTTTTTCCCACTTATTTAAGTATTGAAAAAAAAACAAATTTTTTCCTCCTTAAAAGTTTTATATGAATGCAATGAATTTGTCCAAAAGTGACTGCAGATGTTTCTGAGGGCTTAACTGAGGGCCCCCAATACTAGGTTTTTCGGGATACGATTTACCTTTAATTATTTGAGACTCGGGACTCGGGATTTTAAATGCGCATTAGATCATATATTTGAATGCTATTTTGCGCCTATCATAAATAATAAATTATTTATTATTATTATTATTATTATTATTATTATTATCGGGGCGAGATTCGGAATTGAAAGTAAGCACGGGAGGTGGGATGCCAAAAGGAACTCTCGGGATGATTTCGGGGTCGGGAAAACGGGATTGAAGAACCCTATTTGGGATCCTCTTAACTGTCGACTATGTGGGACATATTTCTCCCCTCCTTAAGGCGTCTTTTTTGCTTGTGCATGGCTAAAACTGTTTTAAAATGCTGTTTGTTTTGATAAACAGTGCTCTTCAGTGTTTCAATCAAGGAGTTGTAGTGACAAGCCAGCCTCTGCAGGATGATGAATTGTTTGAGGTTCGTTTGGACAGTAAAGTGCCCAAGTGGTTTGGATCCCTGGACATTGGTGCCACAACTGTTCCTGCTGATCAGTTGCAGTTCCCTTCAACAATAACTTCCTGCTCACAAGGAACGACTTTTGCACTCACTTCTGATAAAATCGTCAATAATGGCAAAGAAATGACCACGGTATCTAAGAACTTGGACAATTTGTCGGTAAGTCCTTTTAAGGGTAGCTCTATTGATATCATCTGGCCAGAAAACACTGGCAAACGAATAATATTCAGTGTATTCTCGTGGGTCAGGTGAGTAGTTAAAGTAATATATTTTAAGGCTGTAAGAAGACAGAACCTGGTAAAACTTGTAATGTTGTTACATGTACCCTTCTAAAAACTAAAATTGTGCTGCAATAGTCTTATCATAGACTTGTGCTTTCACACTATATTGAATCTGTGGCTTCCTCCGATGAATTTGTTATCAGCTTGTATCTTATCTTGGGCGTGAAGGGTTTAGTGATTAAAAATCGAAAGAGAGCCGAGAAGGTCTCTTATGTTGTCAACTAGCCTGTGTCCTCCTGAATTTGGGTTCATATAAACCTTCATTCCTCGGTTTTTTTAGCTCTGCATTGCTATTTTGCCAACTAAACCCACATTCCACTATTTCCTGAGGGAATAAAGGCCAAGATGCTATGACTCGCCTGTCCCCACCCCCTGTAAGGGAGTCCAAGATAGTCTTGGATTCTGGATACCACGCTGTGGATTCTGGATCAGTCCAGGTACTGGATTTCATCAAACAATGTCAGGTGAACTTAAATTCTGGAATCTGGATTCCTTGAGCTGCATGCTGCATCCCGGATTCCAAAGCCAAGGATTCCGGATTTCAGAAGCAAAAATTTCCCGGATTCCCGGAATCCAGATTCCCTTACATGAGTCAGTATTGTCCTTTTTGATGTAAATTGGATGTAATGATGCAGCTCTTTCCTTGTGTTGATTTGAAAGTTTGTTTTCATTAACAGGTAGGTGACCGCGTGGGGGTTATGAGAAAGTCGGACGACACCTTACATTTTTTCATTAACGGAGTGGATGTTGGAAAGCGCATAAAAACCATCCCTCCTGTACTTTACGGAGTAGTAGATGTGTTTGGCCAGACAGAGGAAGTAACTATAACTGGTATGCAAATGCCCTGTCACTGTTAATAACCAATGGTGGATCTAGGATAGAAAAAGGGTCGGTGGGGTCTGGATCCCGGTCTGAGTATTATTTAAAGTGCTTGATAAACTAAGTACATTAAAATAAAAACTAAAATAATTACCCCCCGAAGAGTGTCTTCCTGTAAACCTTCATAGCGTTACTTAATAATAACACTTGAGTTTTACTTTTCCTATCAGCCATTGAGCTTGATGTCCAGATTTCGTTAAAATTCGTTTATAGTGCTAGAATACCATCAATGAATTTTAAGTAGTAGGAGTAGAGTATCAAGCGTACTCAGGCTGCGCATGAAAGCAGACGTTTACGTTGTAAAAACTAATATGTAAAGGCGTCGAGGGATAAATTGTCGGGTTTAATTAATAGTGTGGTCAAGTTGGATCCCCAAGGTACAAAAATTCCTGGATCGCCATGCTTACGCATCTTAGTGAGCTGCCGCTCATTTTCACCTTGCATTGGTGGCCTGTAGTATTTCTTTTTTTGTCACCGCTGCCACAAAATTTTCATGTTGTTCTTCCAACAAAAAAATGTCTCCTCTGTTTTTCTCTCTCGCTCTAAGTCCCCGTCAACCTTTTTCTCGTTGAGCTTCGCTGGCCTGCCGCCCACTTTTTTTCTTTCTCTTGCTTTATATTCCAAATTTGTGGACATGACAATTTATGTAAGCTTAATACTTTAGACAACACGTATACAGAAACAATTTCCGCTTTCCATTTTCGTCTTTATTGACTCTTTTGTTGTCTCTGCTTTACAAGACGCCGGTGGCTATGCTATCTCCCGCCAAAACAACCTCGATTTGCATTTGGGTTACCATACATGTTGATTGAGTTATTTTGCATTGGTATGCCTGTGGTGAGGACGGACGGTCTCTCGGTGTACGGTCACGTGATTACCAAATTTTCTCGGATGGGTAGATTACTTCATTTTCTTACCCATGGTGCTCCGCTGGCGCGCTTCGCGGGCGAGAGCTCCGCTATAAGGTTCGGAAAAACGGGCAACAAAAAACGTGCAACTTGTCTTGCAACATTTCTGTTAAACGAATTGAAAAGTAATGTTGGGCGTTTTACCACTCACGTTCAGACCTGTTAACAACCTGATTTTTTGTAACACTGGTTTGATGTGGGTGGTAAAACGCAACATCACTATTCAACTCCTTTTGCAGCAATGTTGCAAGACAAGTTGTACGTTTTTTGTTGCCCGTTTTTCCGTGACCTTTAACACAGCTCTTTATCTTTTAGGTGGTACAGCGGAAACACAAACAAGCAACCAAGACCAAGTAGATGCTGTTTCAGTGATGGTTCGAATGAACAACACCGTAAACATCTTAAAAGAAGGGTCATACGAAGATATTGTGGCTGTAGTGGAAAAAGTGGCGAAGGACATTTTACAACCCTATGAAGAAACAGATGATCGGGAACTCCGACAAAAGTACGGAGATCATTTGGCTGAGATTGATGCTCCATTGCATCTGACGAAACTTCTACAACGCTTAATGGACATGGGTATGGAGACCAAGAATGGCTGGCTTGGGATGTTGGTGGTTCGTAGCGTATTCTGGAACTACTCAGATGCCAGTTTAAGAATGGCTAGAGGACTTGGTCGAAGTGGCTTGTTAAAGATTGTATTAAATGATCTGGACACTTATGGTGCCAGGAGTTTTAAAAATGAGGCGAGTCCAGAATTTGTCATGTTTCCAAATGAGAGCATTAAGCTTTTCATTGAAAAGGTTTTTTTCCTGTCACAAAGGACACTTTTGAAAATGGGCAACGTCATATAGATTGCGTTTCGAAAATTGTGCCTACAAACAATCGAACTCTACCTTCAACGTTTACTTTCCGTTAAAACTATGATTTCAAAAGTGATTCCCAAAGTATGATTTCTAAATTCAAGTTCGGGCCTTTGCTCGTAAGGTTATGAACGGAGTCGAATTTAGAAGGATTTGTGTGGAGTCATCAGAACATAACGCGGCTAATATCTCAGAGAAAGTTTGTTCCAAAATGCTAGTTTTTGGCAAGAACGCTTTTTTGATGTTGTTCTTTCATAATAGCCCTACAAATCCCATAATTTCACAAATTTAGTTTTTATGACGTCATACTTAAGGATAGGCTTGATTTCCGCCGCTATCTTGCGTCATCGAGTCTAACCGGTAAAGCGGCTTTTATGAGATGTAAAAAATGTTTGCAGGAAGTTAATCGGTAAGAAATAAGTAAAAAGGGAAGGATAAGCAAATTCCATTTTTCGTCTTTAAAACAAATAAAGAAATAAATTGATTAATTTCTCGTTTTTCATCGAACAGAAAAGAAAAGATCTCATTTGTTCCGCCATCAACATTCTCCACAACTGTGCCAAGGCTTCAGAAAATCGCCAGATTCTCTGTGAACTGCGAGCACTAGAGAGAATTGCACCATTCCTTAAGGCAGATGATATGGGAGTCGTTGTAGTGGCCACATTGACGCTTTCATATATAGCTTCTGATGAACAGAAGAAGCTATTAGAAGCCGAAAGTAGGGTATGTCCTTTTATTTCCCTAACAATAGAACACGAAATATTGCAGTGTAATGTAAAAATGCTGTAAAATTTGTAAATGGTCATTCTTTTTTTCTGATTTCCGGTCCATATCACAGCAAGAACAAAGAATATTAAGAGAAATCAGTAGTATTCATTAGAAACAGTCGCCTACGTTCTTGCTTGTTATATGGAAATTGCTGGCGAAAATGCTTACAATTAAATGTTATGTAATAAGAAACGCCTCTGTTTGTTATTTCAGGTATTAAGCTATATTCTTGGTATGTTGCGCAATGCCTTAGATCAGCCAGACCTGCGCGGTAGATCGGAAGGTTCGAGTTGGTCAGCTCAGGAAATTGCTGTTGGTCTGGGTAATTTGCTTTTCAATGAAAGGAACCTGGAGACTATGCTGGACCGAGACGTCGTTGCACTGCTAGTTTCGATTATTGGTAAAGGCGGAATCATTGAAAAGGAATGTGCTGCAAACTCATTGTGGATCATTGCAAAGAATTCCAAAGGGAAAGCCAAAATAAAAGAAAGCGCGAGCGCAATGGAAGAGCTATCGCGCACAAGCAAAAGTGCGAACCAAGCTGTCCAGGAGGCTGCCAAAAGAGTTCTTTTGGAGCTCAGAGAAACTGCCTACAGACAAGGTTACCCAAACATAACAATTAAGCTAAGTATGGTTGATCTGATTTTTGATCATCATCATCATCATCATCTATGCCCGAGATTCTTGAACAAATAATCTCCGCATTACACTATGGCCCATAACACGCAGTGTTGAATTTCTGAATAAGTTTCATTTCTAAATTTTCCGCTTGCCTTCCGTGGTACAGTTGAATTATCTAATGCTAATTTGAGGAAAACTTATATATTTAAAGTTAATTGCAAAATTTTTATGTGCTCATCTCTCTCTCAATTACATTACTGCTGCATTTATTTCATTTCAATTTTGTGTAAACATTTTGTTGTAGATCAGATTGCTCGATTTGAAATATTAAAGTACTTTTCACTTATTGAAAATGGCGGGTGTCAAAGTAACAAATGCCGCTTCAGTTTATATTCCAAAAATATCATGACACCTACGTGGCGACTGTCCTTTTCCCCCTCTTAGGTTCCGGAAAACTAATCTTAATGTAGTGTCGTGTCAACTTGTGCTTTAATACTCTATGTCAAAATAGTGACTTTTGTTTCCAGTTGATCCGCACTTGCAACGACGTACTCACTGTGACTACCAGGAAAAATGCCGGAGATTTAAGTCGTCACTTAAACTATCAGGTAATTATCTTCTGCTCCCGAGATCAAGGAACTAGTTGCATTAATTCGTCAAGTAAGTCATTGGCTTTGTTTAAAATTTTTTCTATAAAGAACTGGAATTTAAGTTCAGTGAATGAACTGGGACCGAAACAAAGTTATCGTGATTGTAATGCAATTTAGTTGAAGGATAAATCTCATGATTTTTTTTTTTATGCAATACGGATTGTCCCTTTTCCTAGATGTTTTCTTCGACCCTAAATACGACAGATGCTTTTGTACGGAATGCCACGCAGCTCGGGGTGACAAGCTGTATTACACTCGAGGAGAGCCTGCAAAGGACTATGGGATTCCCATAGGATGGTGTCGGTTTGGGCTTAAGTGAGTTTTAACGATATAAAATTGAAAATGATTTACTTTTAATTCGTCTTTTATATACATTCCAAGCGGAAAAAAAAATATAATGTAAATGGTACAAATTCCAAGAGGGATAGCAATAGCCAGCGGTCCCATTGCAAGATTTATAACGTAACTGCCTGTCTTGACGTGCGGAGCCAAACTTGCCTATGACTTTGTTGTTTCCAGAGTTTCTTTCTCCCATATTCTAAGAGGTGAAAGCTCTGGGAACGCAGTTGTCTAAAAATATTGACATCCCGATCGGTCTACTTGTAACATTTGCTACAAAGAAAGCTAAGCACTATAATAACCGTTGTAATAAAATATTGCTTTTTTAACATTTTGTTAATGCTGTTACTTTGCCTGCCATAGTGAATTAGTACCTTTATACCCAACCTGATCGATATTTCTGATTAAATATACCATTTTATTTGTACTAACTTGTATTAAAACAACTAATTTGTTTTATATTCTGTGTTAGGGTCCACCATCGAGCTCTTGCCTTGGATGTATTTAACAAGTGGCACGTCGCATTTCATGGCACAAGAGTAGATAGCGTTAACGCCATTTTGGAATGTGGCGACCTTCTCATACCAGGTATTTTTTTTATTATTTTTTTGCCCAAGGAAAAGTTTTTCGGGTCATATTTGTCCATAATCTAGTGGTTATTTATATTATCCTATTTCGGACTCCGATGTAGTCTATTGACCGGGAATCATTCTGAGCAGTAAGGAACCGACCCATTGATTAACGGGTGGTTTTGGTGGTGGGAGGGGTTTATAAAAGGTAATAGCCTATTTACAGAGATCACGAGTTTAACATACAGTGCTATATTCTTGCCATGGATTATATACGATGTTCTTTAATTCTAGGCAGTTTTTTTATATAGGGTTCTGTAGAGAGGAGAAGTTGTTACGTCACGTTGCCATGGTAGCAAATTTGTTGATGACAACAAACCGACAAAGTCACTCTTTTCGCACTCAGTCTATTTGTAGTACTTCAAACTTCACCGATCTTATTTAACTTCATTTAATTTGGCAAATCTTTGCGGAACCTTCTTTGGGACCGTATCTATCGCTATCTAAGTTTAGAAAAAGAAAGCGACAATTTTTGTGCTGTATTCGCCTACTCCATAAAGCGGACTCGTGAAATTAGTTTCATGTCGCAGTCAGGTGCAACGACGGCAAAGAAATGTAAAAATGCAAAGTTGTTGTTTGTTAATATAAACATATTATTTTTTGCCGTTCTCCTTGCCGTCGCCGTCGTTGGTTTTTGTTGTCATCCAAAAATAGTGCTACCATGGTAACGTGACGTCACACTTCTCCCCTCTATTCACAGCTGCTAATAATGATCCGTCTTTTGATTGCGTTTTTTCTTGTACTGTGCAGGTGATGTAGCTCTTGGGGGAAGAAAACTAAGCGAGGAGGAGGGACATTTCAACGACAACAGAAAACCCTCAGGGTTTGACACAAAGCAGATCTTTGTATCACCGAGTGTTCGATACTCAGGACACAACTGCTACGCGAAACCCAAAAGGCAACTTGAAACGCTTCATGTACCTTCCTTAGCCTACGTTCACAAGGCAACTGGACGAATTTTTGACTGGCTGAAGAATTTACTGCCACACTTCTTTCGCACGGAACCGCTCATTATTTTTGCTCCGAAAAATTTAAAAATTTTAAGTCAAGCGATATTTTTCATATAATTAGAAACGTCATTTAAAGGAACTTTAATTGATGATGTTTGCAAAATAAGATGAGCCGACGAAGGAACTCGTCGCACTAGAAATTGCTTCCTTTTGACAGTTTTTTTTTTGGCATAAGAAACAAAATTTTGCGTAGTGCGGCCCACGGCCTTCTGGTGGTCACTCCTCGCCTGTCAAATTTTGGACCGTACCATATAAAATTTGACCTCGAGTTTAACGTTCAAATTTTTGAACGGCCATTCATCTAAATCTCTGTACAGTTAAGGTGGTTTCGTGTGAACGAAACTCCTTAAAGTTCAAATTTTCAACCTTTTAAAAACTCTTCCAGTGCCTTGAACGTGGCCAAGGTTTTACATCTGTGTTATATATGGTAACGGGATTGAATTTTCCTAAGTAATGTGCTATTGCTTTTATTAGGGAATACCCGAGGAAGGCGACGAAAGCGAAAGCGTCGCTGAAAAAGTAAATTTGCGTTCTTTCAATCTTCATTTCGATTACCCCAAGTCACTGACTCTTAATTGTCAAATGTAGGTAAACCCTACTAAAGTTGAATTCCAAAGAAGAATTAGAACCATATCCAAGTTCAAAAAGAGAGAGAGAAATTTCGTCGTCACTTGTTTACTTCCTTTGTACAACGTGAAGCTGGGCATTTTGACGTCGTAGTCGTGCAGTGACGGCAGAGAAATGTACAAAACAACGTGATGCACGTGCAAAATTGTTGTTTTGGTTACTAAAGCCATTGCTAAATCTGAACCTTAATGCGCCACTGCTACGCCAATCCTTGAAGTAGGAGTATACTAGCTTAGGTTTGTCACAATTTAATTGGGAAAGATTCCTTTCTATAATACCCGTTTTGCAAAGGATATCCCAAGAAGAAGACCCCCAACGTTTCTTAACCCTTGGAAGTAGAATCGTTAAATCTTGATCATTAATTAAAGTAGCAACTGGTCTTGATGTCAAACTAATACACTATAAAAACAATTTGGAGTCGAGTATGACTCAAATCAAATATACCACGTCCCTTGATGTAGTAACATGCTTTTTGTATTGTTCTTGTAATTCTGTAGTTTTGAGGACCCTCTGACGAGAAAGAAGTTGAACACCAAAACCGTTCTTCAACTGTGTATCAACCCTGATAGCTATCAGGTTGGACCACAGACGATTGCTGCTACCTCTGAGATTGACCCTAAGTTTAGCAACCAGGAGATTGAGTGGTCTACCAAGCAACGTGGATCCATCATTCTGTATGGACTTCTGGTTAAACTCGATGAAACTAATTGAATTTCAAATAGTTGTAAGGCTATTTCGCCAATAATTTTCAGTTTTTCTTCTAAAAGGGCAGCAACTCTGTACTGTTGATCACTTTGTATTCAGGGACGGACGGAGGATTTTGTGATAGAGGGACCTAGAGATATATTATACTGTGGCAATATGGGCGTGATAGCGCCCATCAGGACTGCGAACGGCACACTTTTCTAGGGAGTTTCGGACGCATGCTCCTCCGGGAAAATATTTGTGAGTGAAGTTCTCTGAGATGCAATCCAGTGCATTCTGGACGCTTAAATCTAGCAAATGCCTGGAATCCTTATTGAACATGTAATGCTGAAATATTTAATAAACCACAAAAGCGGGGGCCAGGGCCCCCCTGCGGCCCACCCCTAAATCTGCCCTTGGTATTTACATTCAAAGAATGTCGATACATTCCCTAATAGTGTAAGATTTAAATGGCGAGAAAAGGACCATTTTTTTATATTCGTTTAGCACTATCGATTTGCATAGGAAGTCCTGCTTTGGACTTACAGGATCCCTTATTAAAATTCAAAGGGCAGTTTTCTTAGTTAAGATGTTGCATATTTTACCAAGAGTAGTCCAAAGGCATTGTGCTTTGCATCAAGTGAGGGTGAAAAAAATGAATAAACAAATAAACAAACAAATAAAAAACGTCAACGACGTACAGCAAGAAATTTCATTCACTCTTGAAGCTGTACCAGCAGAGTGTCATAGAAGTGGGCGTTGAAAGATGTTAATTTCGGGTCTAAGTGCAAGATGGCAAGAAGGACAGTTTTGGCAAACATCTCAGAACTTGTCATTCCCGTTAAATCTCAAGTCATTTAACGAATGGGCCCCTAGTTTTTTATTGAAAATGTGAGGAGGTAGTCACTTTTTTCTTTGTCCTTAATGTTTTTATTGATTGCATAGCTGTAAGTTCATAAAGTATTAAATATTATCATTTCTTTCCTTGGCAATGTTAAGATATGGATATGTTAACAAAAATGCCGATCCCCCTGACTGTGTCCATTTACACGAGTGTCCGTCAGGAAAGGAGAGCAGGAGAAAACGTCCAACATTCTCAAGTGATCCATTGCTATTTTGTAAATTTTACAGGAATTCTTCATATACAGCTTTTATTTCGCTAGATATGTGTGTAACTTCGACTTTATTGACAAATCAATAGTCTTAATTGGCGCCCTTACCACAATCAATCTATACTCGCACGTGCAGCAAATAGACCCTTAAATTTGCATCCTTGCGACAAGTTGGTTTTTGAATTAAAGCTTTGTAAAAGTGTTTGTTATCTTTCTCTTTTATTCTCTCTACCTTGCTGGCGAGCTGTTTCAACATCGTGATACCGAGATACAGTACAGATTTAGAATCACTTTCAAGGCAAATGAATAACCTCAATTTGCCCCAGAGGACTAAGCTTTACCTTCAATGGCCATCCACCGTTCACTATATCTACACACAATTAGTAACTTTTGCTAGTTCCATTCATTAGAATTATTTAGGACCGTTTGTTTCAGTTGTCGACTTGAATCTTACATTTCCTATAAATAATGGTAAGGACTGAGTGGAGTCCATTTCGGTCTGTGATCGTACGAGTGATCAATTAACAAAATCAGCGGACGACTGCATAGAGGGAGTCTGATTTGTTTAATCACCAGCGTTATTACAGACCAAATTAGAGGACACGAAGCTTTCTCTTACCAATTAATCATAACATAACTATAACCAGTATAACGAAACTTTGTGACATTTCAACCTTTTCTTAAATTAAAACACAGGATACTCCACCCAAGTGAGCGCCCGCGATGGCGCATAGTGTCCAATCAGATTTGAGATTTTGTTATTATTATTATTTTTTTTTTTACAGTTATGATTAGTCTCTACATTCTAAGAAAACATATTGTAACTAAAACAGCAGGAAGTAAAACTATCAATAAAGACCCATTTAACAATTCCCTAGAATTTCATGTCAAAACGGCTTCAAAGAGGCCCCTAACCCTTGGGTCTCTTTTTTAGTGATGTTTACCGCCCACTACATTTCTAGAAGGTCAGTGGGTAGGGCCCGTCCTGTAGATGAAGTATTTTTGCAGAAAAGCCCTTTCAAAGCCCTCCTGAACTGTCGCAATCTAATGGCATAAATCAGTGGATTCAAGATCGAGTTAAGGTAATAAATCGCAAGTATAAGGGTTGTAACATTTACGAATGGTAATAATTGAATCCTCAAGTAACCTAAACGTAGAGAAACACAACTTGTTATTGCCCATGGAAGAAGAGTAGCTATAGAGGCTGCGGCGACTATTAATAATGTTATGGAAAGTTTCCTCTCCACTAGAATAACTGAGCTAAACCGCTTGGCATAAGGCTTGCTTAAAACCTTTGATAAAATGATAACATATGCTGCTGTAAGAAGTGTAACGGTAACGAAAGTATAGCTTATCCATGCACCTCGACATGCAACCGGTTCATTTATTTCAAGAATGACAAATACAGATGCTAAAATGAAGGACCCAAACCAACTGCAAAAGATAATCTTACAGTAAACACGTTTCCCGACCAAGCAGTGGTTAAATGGATAAAGTGTGGCGTGCAGTCGCTCTAAAGAAATTAATGCTAGATTGCCTACTGAAACTATATAAAAGCTGTCAATGATCGCCCTCCAACAGTTTCGCCAACTGAGACCATGTTGCGGTCCTTGTAGACCATTTTGGTACACAGGTCCCGCCACAGCTCCAACCAGAAAATCAGCCACAGTTTGGTTTATTACCAGGTATGTACTGCGCTTGCGTAGACGGCGACTTCTTGCAAAAGCGACAACCGTTAATGTGTTGATTATAAATATAAAACAAAATTCTGTGGTCAGCACTGCAAACCGGATATCCTCTACTTCGTCAGGCATCCTTTGATTAAAGGGGCATTCTTGTCAGTCTTGCGCTTGTAACATTTGATTGTTTCCAAATGGAACCTTCGACAAAAAAAAAATAAGTTTGAGTCTAGGTATCCAACGGCAAACGTTTCTGACCCGCTTGCTCTCTTTATCGTGCTGGCTCGGCTCATGCCTTTAAAATTTTTATTGTGTTTGTATGAGAAGTCAGGCTGACGAGATCCCATTGGCTCGAAACGAGATCTCAACTAGTGGGTCAGCCCGTCCTTTATGCAACACAACGACTATTTGACGAGGAAACAAGGAGTGAGCCGAGCCATCGCAGTAAAGCCAGGAAAACGGAAAGTAAACTCCCGATTTTCCTTGAATTCTCACAAGGAAAATTAGGATGGGAAACAGATGGAGAATACCGAACTTTCTATGATTTGCCGTTTCGTAAAATTATTGGTAAATGAGGTTAAATTTCTTGCCGTGAAAACTGGTTGACTTGTAAATTGCGCCAAAAGTAATTCAAATATCCGGAGGCTCATCTGCAAATGTAAACATGTGTGTAACGTAAATATTTTTCATGCATCTTGTTGATGCCAGTTTCAACGCAATTCCCATTTTAAGCGACCTTATGCCAGTCCAAAATCTAATTTTTCTCAGTTTTGAAGGCATCTTTTGACAGAACCTTTATCAGATATTTTGATTTCTTAATTCTGTTTTTAAAATCCCGTGTTGACAATCTTGAAGAAGGATATACTATTTACGCAGGTGTTCTGTATTTGCATAATGGCTTCTTGCAGTGAAATTAAAGGTTTCGAGATTTCTTTTCCTCCACATTGTGAAACCCAAAGGAAACGGAATGTAAAGCTGAAGATATCAATGGGGAACTCGCTCACCCGTTATTGTCAAAGGTCGGTGCGCGACGGCTAGGAAACCAATGTCACGATATCATGCATGGAATCATAGTCCTGTATAAAACCTTTGCCGAAATTGCCGTTAACTTTAAAAATAACATACAGGCAGTGACTTTTGTTTATTACCAAATTAAAACTCACTTCCACTTATAATTTTAGACTCATTTTAACCAAAAGTAATACGTCTTTTTGTACGGTACTTTCTCACAGTATCAATATGGCGGTCATCTAAAAATCCGCCAATTAGCAAACTTCGGGGAGGTCGTATCAAAAAACTTAAAAAGATCCCAAAGAAATGAAAAGAAGACATAAAACGATTATCTTACGCTGTAGAGAAAGCCTATTCTGAAGATTTATTTTGGCGAACCGGCCGGATTTTTAGGCAGGTCTTTTATGTCACTTCAGAGCCATTCAGAAAAGGCAACGAAGTGCGTTCAACGAAAAACTCTCCAAGGGGTCTTGCAAAGTAAATAATCTGTCAATATAAACAATATTTAATTTACCAAGGGGCAAGCTATTTCTTCAAGGGAAGAAATCAGTTATAGGCTTTATCCCGCTAACTTGAGAGAGTCACGAATATAGTGAAATTTCAGTTCATCAAAGAGGTCATTTTGGTTCAAAACGGAACCGACCGATTTATTTAATTTTCCTAATAACGCAAAAATTAGACCAAACTAACCCTCTTTTGCTAACTACTATACAATACTCTATCAATGTAAAAAGTATCAGCGAAAACGAATTTTGAGCTGTGTCCGCGATTTTGAAATTATCTCCGATTCTTACTGACATTGTCTCTTAAATTCACAGCTGCCTTAAGTTTTATTTTCTTCTGAGATTAAAAAAAAAATAAAAATAAAACAGTTACTTACATTTTGCTTCTCTTAAAGGTGCAAGTGATGACAAGGAACAGATTGTAATACTCGGTCTGCAAAACTTCTCACTCAGTTATAACACCTTGCAAGCTCAAAGCATATAAAATTTAACAAAAACGCATCGATAGGAATATATACCCTCAATGAGCCCCGGCCTTTAGATGAGATCATTAAAGGTTTGTCATGTTTACCACTAACATCATTAAAAGTTTGTAATGTTTACCACTACAGAATGATCAGAATGGTATTAAATATGGTAATAATTTTTAATCATAATTTTCAATCAAAATATGTCCTATTTATCCACTGAAGATATTCTTACTCCAAAGCAATATGGCTTCC